TGAAGAGCTGAGGGACAGCGCCCAGGCCCAAAATTCAGGCCCCACGACTGACAAAAAATAAATTTAAAAAAACACATATAAAGGATTATAAGCCTAACTTTTCAGATCACATACACGTTCTCTTGTCTTTGCCTTGTTTTTTGGTGAGTTCCTATTTGCTATTTCCTGTTCAGGTCTCTGATGGTGCCTTCTAAGTCTGGGCCTTGACTAGATTATTATTAGTTAACCTGCTGCTGCTCTGGTTTCAATTGAGCGTGGCTCCCAAGCACACGGAAATCATCATGATTGTCATATGAGATGAGAGATTATGGGGAAGGTTTCTTATTTGGTGCCATAACCTCCTCCAGTTTGTTTTTATTTTTCTTAAGCATATTTTATTATCTTTAAGTAGTTGTACAAAGGAGATACCATTCAATACATTGTGAATACAATGCATCTTAATGCATCATGCATCTTAATGCATCCCTTCCAACCCTTCCCCTCAATCCTACTTCCATAGAATATGCATTGAATATTATAACTGCATTCGCCCCTCTTCCTCTCTTTATTCACCTACCCCCCTCACCTTGTCCGACATTTTTCAAATACTAGTTTCTTGGTATTCATTTTATTTACAGTTTGAATTCTCCCCTTCAAACACTATACTTTGGTTAATACACTTGTCTACACTTGCATATAACCCTGCATTTACTTGTACATCTATAAATGTGTTCTAACTTACACATCTGAGAGAAAACATGTATCTTTTCTCTCTCTGGGCCTGACTCATTTCACTTAACATATTTTTCCCAACTCTATCCATTTCTTTGCAAAATAATGTAATATTCTTCCTAATGGATAAGTAAAATTCCATTGTGTTTATATACATTTTCTTGATCTAATTGTCTATTGAGGAGCATGTGGCCTATTTCCTTACCTTGGCTATGGTGAATAGTGCAGCAATGAACAACAGGGTTGTATAAGTGGCTTTACTGTATTCTGGTTTGTAATCTTTAGGATAAATGCCTTAGAATATTTTTCTGGAGTCTCCAAACTGCTTACCAGAGTGGTTGAACTACTTTATATTCCCACCAACAGTGTATTACAGTTCCTTTTCCCCCACATCCATGCCAGTATCTGTAGTTTGTATTCCTGATGATGACCATTCTAATACCTTTAGTTACTTTGTTCTGTCTTTTTTGTGTGCTGGTCCTGAGATTTGCCTGGGTGTTGTCCCTTAGCTTTTTTTTTTACCCAAGCTAGCACTTTACCAACTGAGCTACAGCTCTAATTCCAGTTTCTTATTCATTAATTGGAGATAAGTCTCATGAACGTTCCTGCCCAGGCTGGCTTTGAACTGCAATCCTCAGATCTCCAGAATAGCTAGGATTATAGGTGTGAGCCACTAGAGCCTGATGACCAACTTCGACTTCTTCAAGAGTTAATTATCTCCAGGGACTCTTTCCTGACCAATTCTGGGTTTGGTGCACTCTCCATTGCTCTGGTAGCGCCTGGTTCTTCCTTATCAAGATATTTACCAGAACTGGGAAGGTGGCTCAGTGGTAGAGTGCTTGCCTTGCATGCATGAGGCCCTGGGTTCGATTCCTCAGCATCACATAAGCAGAAAAAGCCAGAAGTGGTGCAGCGACTCAAGTGGTAGGCGCTCCCCTTGAGCTGCAGAGCTGAGGGACAGCGCCCAGGCCCAGAGTTCAGGCCCCACGACCAGACCCCTCCCCCCCAAAAAAGATACTTACCACACCAAATCTTAGTCATCCATCCCAATGGTACAGGACTTTGTCATACTCATATCTTCCCAGTATCCAGCACAAATTTGCTTTGTGAAAATGTACTGAGGGGGTACACTGAAGGTGTGTGCACTTGCCTGTCTGCTGAATGTGAACTGGATAATGTTGTCACCCTGGCTACTGGGGACACACACAGGGGGCCTGGAAGGTTGACAGGCGCTCATGTTACTTACAGGTAGAGCCTACAGCCATTTTACTCTAGGTGCCCCTTCCTTCTTTTGGGTCCTGCTCAGCTCTCCCTGGTGGCAGCTTGTCGTAACTGCAGGCCACATGAGCCAGGAGGTGGCTGCCCAGGCATTGTTCCCCAGGTGTCCCTTCCTTCCTTTGACCCCTGCTTAGCTCCACCTGGTGGTAGCTAACTAGCATTGCAGGCCTCTTCCCAGGAGGGGGCGCTGCAGGGACTTGAGTACTGTGGAGATGGGGAAAGCAAGGGAGGCTTCCCGTATAGGATAGCCCTACCCAGCTCTGCTCTGCTGCTGCACAAAAGTCCTCATCTTTTCTATTCTTCCAGACTCCAGATCCACAGAAGTTGAGACTAAAACTTGGCAAACTTTGGGTTGTATATATGAGAGGCAGAAAACCTCTGCTTAATGTACTTCCAGGTGAAATGGACTAGTCAGACTTGGCTGGGTTGTGTGTCCATGTGTGTACACGTGTGTCAGTTCTAGGGTTTGAACTAGGGCCTGGGCACTGTCCCTAAGCTTTTGTGCTCAAGGCTAGTGCTTTAGCACTTGAACCATAGCTCTACTTCTGGCTTTATGTTGCTTTAATTGGAGGTAAGTTTCATGTACTTTCCTGCCCAGGCTGGCTTCAAACTTCTAAGATCTTGGCCTCCTGAGTAGCTAGGATTACAGTGTGAGCCACCACCAGGTTAAAAAAAGTAAAACTTTAATTTGTTCTAGAGACTAAGCTCAAGGGCACCAGGTTGTTCCACAAGTGCTTGACCACTTGAGTCACATCCCTAGTCCAAAAATAATGTGAAAAAAATGAAATAAGCCAGGTACCACTCACATACATAATACTACTCCGGAGGCTAGATTTAAGAATTGCGATCTTCGGTAATGATAGAGCATAAAACCAGGCTCTTGGCTTCTAGAAGCTAATCAGGTGAAGGATGTGTCTAATGACCAGAACTACAAGGGAAGGGAGCCGATTTTACTTCCCAACCTAGGATAATGGCGGGTTATTTTTTACACATGGAACATTTAGCATGAATAAATAGTCTCTAATCTGGATAGTGGGCTCTAGGCCAATAGTACAAAGATATCTTCCCTCAGCTTTGTAATTCTGGGGTTAGTGAGGAGCCACCCATTACCAAATTACCGTCTAGGTTTCTTTCCTCTTGTGTTACAAGGAGCTAGTAAGAGATGACAGGAGGTTAAGCCAATAGCAAAGACAATGATCTTTTTCTTTAGAATTCCAAGCTAATTCTAATAACCCTCAGGTTATTAAGGGCTCTTCGCCATCAATGCACAAACAAGTCAACATTTCTAGTAGAAAACATTTGAAATTCAACCTGGAAAGAAAACTGAGTAGCAGCACCCAACTGAGGGCTGTGGGGACTGACAGCCTAGGTCCAGGCAATCTATGGTTCTAGGCATGAGGAGAATCTGGTGATGGCTTTTGTCCAATTACAGGTAATTTTCATAACTGAAATTAAATGCCAAACACTGAGGAGTGGATATAAACTACCACATTTGGAAAGAATATTGGTTCAAAATGAATAAAACACAGAAACTATTCTCCTTATATACGTAAATATCTAATTTGGTTCCCAGAAATAAGCAGTAGAGAGCCAACAGACATTATATTTCCTATGATTCCGGTATGGGGCAGAGAATTAATTTTATCTTATCCTCAGCAAACCCCAGAATCTTTGTCTTGCAGGTGAATAAAATCACTGCATTATTTTCTGTTGTCTTAAGATAGTTAAGAATTTGGAAACAAAGAAAATCACTGGGAAGCAAGAAGTACTTCTAAGGGCTGGGAAGGTGGCTCAGTGGTAGAGCGCTTGCCTTGCATGCCTGAGGCCCTGGGTTCGATTCCTCAGCACCACATAAGCAAAAAGAAAAAAGCTGGAAGTGGAACTATGGCTCAAGTGGTAGAGTGCTAGCCTTGAGCTGAAGAGCTGAGGGACAGCGCCCAGGCCCAGAGTTCAGGCCCCACAACCGGACCAAAAAAAAAAAAAAAAGAATTACTTCTAAGCCAAACCTTTGGGAGAGAAATCCCTGTAGATATAATACAGACCAAATCACACACAAACACTTTATTAGTTTTCTCTACAACAGACAATAACATCAGTCTTTTAATAACAGATTCTCAGTTCACTTGAGGCCAAATGGATCCAAGGAAACCAAATTAAAATTAAATATTTAAATTAGTTAAAAGGCACTATATAAGATATCAACTAAAACCTACAACCACAGTGGTAGCAGGCTGAAAGATTAAACTACAGCAAATTATCTAGTATGAACATTAACAATTACACAGCAGGAAGCAAGATTATATTGCAAAAGACTACAGTACAATGACTAGTTGGGCCCAAGATGATATTTGGCCAGGAAAAGGTCAAGATAGCTGAATGTAAATCCAAATAGAAAGGAATAGGTACAAAGGAGTATCCAAGCTATACACAGTCAAGCAGATGATGATGATGGATCAGGCTTCTTCCTCCCAAGACATATTTACTAGACTGAGCTACCCTCCATCCTCACTTCAAGACCTTGCCTAACAAATGCTTAAGCTGAACTGCTTGCCTTACAGGGGACTCAGCTACCAGGACTAGGTTTGAGGTTGCTCAGACCTGCTTTAAGGTATTAGGCCTTGGAGAATCTATCTCACATAGGCTGGCTTTGTTGCTAGTTACTTGGAACAAAGAAAAAAAACCAATAGTATTCACATGCAAAGGGGTCCAAACTTTGTCAATCACATTTAAACCACTTTGCAGAACAAGGTCAAAAGTCTGCAAATGTTACAGCAGCTAGGTAATGCTGCAGGGGTTATAAATTATGACGAAGGAAGCCAGGATAAGATAATTCAGGTAGAAAATATCAGCAGTTCATCTCAATTTGCCTTTCCCCAAATTAGGATCCACTAACTCTAATATACCATGTGGGATGTAGAAAGCTACACTGGAGCAAGCTAGGTCTTCTGCTAAATTTTTCAAATACTAAGAGAAACCAAGGGAGAACAAGGGGTAGGGTTAACTTCAGTTTTAAAAAGCCTCAGAAGTTATTCTATTATAAAGGGACATGGCTGAACAGGTAAGAAACAGATTCTCCATTGTGAGTTCTCCTGATGGCTTCTGCAAGGATCATAGAGATGTCGATCACCTATAAAAATAAGAAAGGTAGTACTTAGGGGCAGAGCTAAATAGCCCATCTGTAGCCTGGGCTGGTGAACAGGCAAGTAAGTGCTCTCCCTCAAGAGCCTACACTCAGCTACATTTTCTTTTTTAATTTTTTTGGGGGATAGGTGGCTTGAACTCTGGGCCTGGGTACTGTCCCTCAGCTCTTCAGCTCAGAGCAAGCACTCTACCACCTGAGCCACAGCCACAGCACCACTTAGGTTTTCTGGTGGTTAATTGGAGATAAGAGTATCACAGACTTTCCTTGCCCAGGCTAGCTTAGAACCATGATTCTCAGATCTCAGCCTCCTGAGTAGCTAGGATTACAGGCATGAGCCACCGGTGCCCAGCTCTACATTTTCTAATATGTTTTACTATAACCACTTAGGAAAGTGGTCAAATTACCAATGATGAAGGAAAAAAAAATCTTGATTCAGGCACATCAAAATGGTGATTCCCCTTCTCAATAGAATCTTCAGAATTCAGCTATCTAATTCAATGTTATGTAATAACCTCCTAAATTCTTGGCCTTGCTATTCATATCCTCACCTGTATTTTGGAGCAATGCTTCATCTTGTCCTCCTGAGGTATAGTGTTGGTGACTACAACTGCTTCAAAGCAGGCATTGTTGATGCGAGAAATGGCTGGGCCAGAAAAGATTCCATGAGTCAAGATTGCATAAACTCTGGTAGCTCCAGCTGAGAGAAGTCTAGAGGAGAAACAGTTGATTTGGATTAATCTTACATGTCATATTAAATAAAGCAAAAGAGGAACATATTAGTCTATCATAACAAAATACAATAGACTGGGTAGATTAAGCAGACTTATTTCTTACAATTCTGGAGGCTGGCAAATCCAAGGTCAAGGTCCATTTCAGTTTTTTTAACCTCAAGGTGGAGCCTCCTTGCTGTGTGCTTTTACAACCTCTTGAACACACACCAGGACAGTGCCAGCAAGCTCTCTAGCAGTTTCTTCTCATAAGGGCACTAAGTTCGTCAAGAGGCCTCTGCCATTGCAGACATCATCTACATCAAAATAGCTCTCACAGGCAATCTCCAAATCCCATCAGATTTGGGGCTATGGCTCCACAGGAGGATTCGAAGGATTCTGTAAGAACACATTCTGTCCTTACTAAGGAGAGAAATCTACACTAAGCTACCTCTTGGAAGAAGTTACAACCATTTTCCTTAGTAAGCCTCTGTTCTTTTCCCTTTCTAGAGAAAAAGTCTGAGCCCCTGAAAGTGAGTGCAAGCAACAATATTTGCAGTGGGTTGTGCCATGAAGTGAGAAACTATCATGGTAAGCTGCTGTCATTGTAAGCAATTAATCTGTTACAATTAGTACATCAATTACCTAACTAATAAAGGATAAATCAACTTTAAAAATGTAAGTAAACTCAAGGATCTAAGCCAGGAATCACAACACCTAAATACATTTTTCAAACTTTTCTTTGCCAGTACAAGGGGGCTTGAACTCATGGCCTCATGTTTGCTCAGCTTGCTCACTCACAGTTGGCACCTCCATTCTGGCTTTTTGCTGATTAATTGGAAATGGAGTTTTATGGACATTTTTTGCTGCCCAGGTTGGCTTTGAACCACAATTCCTTGTGTGTGACTTCTCAGTAGTGAGAATTATAGGCTTGAGCCACTAGTACTTGGCTAGATTTGGCACTTTTTATATACTAGTCACAGATATTCAGGAGTTTACAAAACCACACAGAAGCTGGGCACTGGTGGCTCATGCTTGTAATTGTGGCTACTCAGGAGGCTGATATCTGAGGATTGTGGTTCAAAATCAGCCCAGGGAGGAAAGTCCGTGAAACTCTTATCTCCAATAAACCACCAGAAACCAGACGTGGTGCTGTGGCTCAAGTGGTAGGGCATTAGCCTTGAGCTGAAGAGCTGAGGGGGTAGCACCCAGGCCCAGAGTTCAAGACCTACAACTGACCAAAAAAAAAAAACAACAACAAAACACAGAGGTGGCATGGTGGTGGATACCTGTAGTCCTAAAACTTGGGAGGTTGAGGCAGACCCGAGTAAGTCTTCCCTAGACTAAGAATCCTGACTGCCTCAAAAATTCTGGGCATAGTTGTTCATGCCTATAATTCCATGTGCATGGAAGTAGAGATCAGGAGGATTACTGTTTAAAAACAAGTTTGAGCTGGGCGCTGGTGGCTCACGCCTCTAATCCTAGCTACTCAGGAGGCTGAGATCTGAGGATCACTGTTCAAAGCCAGCCTGGGCAGGAAAGTCCATGAGACTCTTATCTCCAATAAACCACTAGAAAACTGGAAGTGGTGCTGTGGCTCAAGCAAGCGTTCACCTTGAGCTGAAGAGTTCAGGGACAGCGCCCAAGCCCAGAGTTCAAGCCCTACAACCAACAAAAAAAAAAAAAAAAGAACAAGTTTGAGCAATCTCATCTCAAACAATAGCTGGGTGTGGTAGGGATCCATCTGTCATTCTAGCTACTTATTACTAGCTACTTGCAAGGCTGATATTGGGATATTCTAGGTTCCAGGCTAGCCTGGGCAAATGTTATCAAGACCTTATATCAGTCTTGGTAGAGTGTGCCTGTGATCCCAATTATATAGGAGAGAATTGGGTGCATGGTTCAAATTGTAGAGTGCCTGTTCAGCAAGAGCAAGGTAGTGTTCAAACTCTAGTACCTAAAAGAAAAAAAATAGCTATATAGGACAGTCATTCATAAGTAGGAGGACCATAGTCCAAGGCTGTCCTGGGCAAAACCTAAGACTATCTGAAAAATAAAACAAATGCTGGGGGATTGACTCAGATAGTAGGGTGCCACCTAGTAAGCACAAAACCCCAGAATTCAAAACCTTAGCACTGCAAAAAAAGGTACCAAAACTATATAACATTTAGATTAGTAAGCACAAAGCTAATGAATATGATAAACTAGGGAAGCAAGAGACTGGTGACTGGCATGAAGTAAGTATTATTTTTTAAAGTTCCAGGTAAAGCAGTCATGAGGTTAAGATGAAGGATGTCACCAGCAGAGCTCTTATGCCTGTAATAGGAACTACTCAAGAAGCTGAGATATAAGACCTTGAGACTCTTATCTCCAGTTAACAGCCAAAAAGCTGGAATGGAAGCTGTGGCTCAAGTGGTACAGTGCCAGCTGAGAGTGGAAAAGGAAAGGTAAATGACAGCATGAGGTCTTGAGTTCAAGTCCCATTACTGACAGTTATCCCTTCAAATTCTGTTCTAAAAAACTACCTATCTCCCTTTAATTCTATTCCAAAAAGAAATCAGCCAGCTGTAATCATTCAGAGAGCAGTTAGGTTTTTGCTCCTAATCACCAGCCCCACAACATACTTGTCAGCTGCATGGCAGATTGTGCCACAAGTGTCCGCCATGTCATCAACAAGGATAGCCACTCGATCCTTCACATCTCCTACTAGTACCATGCGGTCTACTTCATTGGCCTTCTTTCGCTCTTTGTGAATCAAGGCAAAGTCCACATTCAACCGGTCTGCAATGGAGGTCACTCTGTAAAACAGGAGATGATCTAAGTTAATTTAAATACACATGTATGAGGCTTTCAACACAGAAGAATTGGCCGGTAGAGCTAGGATAGCATGGTAGAGTGCTTGCCTAGCATGCATGAGGCCCTGGGTTCAAGTCCCCAGTACCACACACACAAAAGAATGGGCGGCTTCCTGGGAGAAGAATACTCCTTGAAACCAAACCATTCCCAGGGCTGGAAGAAAGCATCTCAAAGACAAACACACAAACTGGGTTTTATTTATTAAATCATGCCTTTTATAGGAATATGTTACTCAATTTGGATAATCATTCATTTTGGCCAGAAAGTAGACAGATACCCTCACCAGTCTTGGTAAACAATATATGATAAAGCACATTACTTTAATGGACTGGCAGCAGAAAATCTCATTAAACTAAATAGGGAGTGCAAAAATTATCCCAATTTCAATTGTGGAAGAAAACTCATGACTGTGGATGGATGCAGTGAGACGTGAACCTGAAGCTGGTAGGAGAGGAGCAGTGCCTGTTTCAATGCTTGTGCCCTCATTTCTTCCCTCTGTGATGGTGGCAAAACATCCACCCAGTCATTGTCAACTGTACCTGAACACCAAGCTGGGGAATTCCTTTTATGAATGCTAGAAAGAAAGTGATACCAGTTAACCAGACAAACTGGGCTTATCTCTATACAGCCAAGGCTATCTCCGAATAAAACACTTCTACAAACCACATACTGAGCCACAACTAGAAGGTGGGATAGAGGACAAATCTGTCTGGTTACAAAGTACCACACAGTTCACTCAACCAGAGAGGGAATTAGGGGTAAGTAGCAGCAGGCTATCCCAAGTGATATGTATCAATGCTGCACTGGGCCATCTTTGTTATGCTTGAAGAAGAAGCTCTGCTTTGGTTCATCATGTCCTATTCCTTTGCTTATGCTATATTAGAGATGGTTTGAACCGCTACTCTACACAAATTTGCTCTTTGATGCAAACAAATTGTATCTTGTATTGTCCTTTATTCCTACTTAGGTACCTAATATCAATAGTAAGCAGTTTGCCTAGAATGATTATCCAAAGTAAATGAGTATCAACTTATCTCAAGTATCCCTGACTGTGCTCAGTAACCAATGGTCACCATCAAAGCAGAAAAGACAGTCAATGAAGTATGGCTGTGCAGCTTACAATCATGCAAGGATCCTTACCTACTCCTGACAACCTGCCAAGACACAAGTAACAGCCACAAGGGCCACTTGAAAAAACCTCAACACTATAAGGCAATCTCAATGAAAAACTTATCAAAATCACTAAAGCCATCTGCTAAAGGGAACTTTCTTAGACCAAACTTGAAAGAAATCCTCTATTACTTGAGAAGTGACTATTTCCCAAATCTTCTGGCATGATGTGAACAAAATGACTAAAAAGTTAAGAAACAACCACCAGGCTGGGCGCTGGTGGCTCACGCCTGTAATCCTAGCTACTCAGGAGGCTGAGATCTGAGGATCAAGGTTCAAAGCCAGCCCGGGCAGGAGAGACCGTGAGACTCCTATCTCCAATAAACCACCAGAAAACCGGAAGTGGTGCTGTAGCTCATGGTAGAGCGCTCGCCTTGAGCTGAAGAGCTGAGGGACAGCGCCCAGGCCCAGAGTTCAAGCCCCACGACCGACAAAAAAAAAAAAAAAGAAAAAAAGGAACAACCACCAGGGTAGGGATTTTAAAAAAAACATATTGTCTCTAGTATCGCAGATGGTAACTAGTGATTACACAGGGTTCATCAAGCCATACATGTGGCTAGATAACAGAACTCAAGGGGCTGGGAAGGTGGCTCAGTGGTAGAGCACTTGCCTTGCATGCATGAGGCCCTGGGTTCAATTCCTCAGCACCATATAAGCAAAAAGAAAAAAGCCGGAAGTGGTGCTGTGGCTCAAGTGGTAGAGCACTAGCCTTGAGCTGAAGAGCTGAGGGACAGCGCCCAGGCCTAGAGTTCAGGCCCCATGACCGGACCCAAAAAAAAAAAAAAAAGCAGAACTCAAGTTCTCAGCTTATAAATTACTGAAATTAAAGAAGCTGTTGAGAAAGTCATTGAGGATTTGAATGACTTTAGAAAGTTCTGAATTAGCTTTTCCTAATCATCTGTGCTTCGTAGCTTCTTCATTCTATTTTTCCAACAAGAAAAATACATGTAAAATCTGGAACCTGGAATCCTGGCTACTCAAGATTCTGAGATCTGGAGGACGGGGGTTCAAAATCAGCTTAGGCAGCAAAAAGTCCAGATTTCATCTCCAAAGAAATGACAAGCAAAAAGCCAGGATGGAGGCATGACTCAAATGGCAGAGTATCATCTGAGCAACTAAGCAAGAGCAATCATTGCCTCAAATTGAAGCCTCCATAGAAACAAAAATCAACAAACACTCTGTGTAATACATTTGTATGCATTATTGAGGACTCCTCCACTAAGAAAATCAAAAGCTGTCAAGCTGGGTCTTAGTGGCTTACATCTATAATCTTAGCTACTCAGGCAGAGATATGAGAATCAAGGTCCAACCAGAGTACACAAATTCAAAAGATTATTATCTCTAATCAGTAAGAAGATGAGAAGTAGAAGTGTGGATAAAGGGAAAAAGCATCAGTCTTGAACAGAAAAAGGTAAGCAAGAGCATGATGCCCTGAGTTTCGAGTTTAAGCCTCAGTACAAGCAAAAAAGAAGGAAGACTACTTAGGGAGGCTGAGGCTCAGATCTTTGAAGATCATGGTTCAGGTTGACCCATTTTAACAGTGAGACAAGGAAGGGGGTAACAATGCTCAATAGGAAATGTACTCATTACCTTACGTAAGGATAACCCATCTGTACAGTATCTTCAGTATTTAAAATTTTTTTAATATTTTTTTAAAAAGCCAGCCCAGGCAGGAAAGGGCAGGAAAGTCGCTAAGACTCTTGTCTCCAATTAACCACCAGAAAACCGGAAGAGGTGCTGTGACTCAAGGGCTAGAGCACTAGCCTTGAACTGAGAAGCTAAGGAACAGCACCCAAGTCCAGAGTTCAAGCCCCACGACAGACCAAAAAAAAATTTATAAAAGGAAGAAAAAAATCAAGGGTTTTTACTTTGTATCTTGTGAGCTATAAGGTACTATACCAGCAATATCTGACAATGAATTCGCTTAAAAGTTTAAGGTAGTGGCTTTTAAATTTAAAAAAATCATGGTTAATGATAAGATACAACAAGCATGAGGCCCTGAGTTTAATCACAAGTAACATCAAAAAATGCCATACTTTCAAGGCGCTGGTGGCTCATGCCTTTAATCCTAGCTACTCGGGAGGCTGAGATCTGAGGATTGTGGTCTGAAGCTAGCTGGAAAAGGAAACACTGTGAGGCTCTTATCTCCAATAAACTACTCAAAAAAGCCAGGAGTGGTGCTGTGGTTCAAGTGGTAAGAGCATTCCCCTTGAGCAAAAGATCAGGGACAGCCCCCAGGCCCAGAGGTCAAGCCCTAGGATCACATAACAAAAAAAGCCATACTTTACTATCCTCCATGGTTAATTTTTTTTTGTCAGTCATGGGGCTTGAATTCTAGGCCTGGGCGCTGTCCCTGAGCTCTTCAGTACAAGGCAAGCACTCTACCACTTGAAAGACAGTACCACATCTGATATTCTAGTGGTTAATTGGAGATGAGTCTCACAGACTGTCCTGCCCTTTCCTGCCTAGGCTGACTTTGAACTGTGATACTCAGATCTCGGCCCATGTGTAGCTATGATTATAGGAATAAGCTACTGGTGCCCGCCTGGTTAATGTTTTAATCCTCAGGATCAAATGTTCTAGCCAACAGCCTTACAAAAGGTATGTAAAAGCTTGTTTATCTACTAATATGAGATTCAATAACAGCTACCATTCATTTCCATATCAAATTATCTACCTTTCCATATAGATTTATAGTAGTAATGTTAGGTCTATAGTGCCAAGTCAATAACATGACAGTCAAGCCTACAAGACCATGACTGTTTAGGGCTCCCTTTCTATTTTTTTTTTTCAAATAGTAACACAGGTCAGTAAAATAGTAAATCTGTATGTCCCTACTGGGAATCAGAAGTTCATACAAACTACCCCTTGGCTATAAAAAAACATCACTTTGTGATACAATCATCTGAACGGCTTCTTAGCACCCTAGACTTCTTAGCACCCTGGAAATCACAGTAGTTTGCAGCCATACCTCTTGGCTCCGCCCGCATCAGGTGAAACAATAGTGCAGTTCCTCCATTCAGAGATGTTCTCTCTAATCCACTTCAGGACAGCAGGCTCTGCATACAAATTGTCCACTGGGATATCAAAAAAGCCCTGGAGCAAAAAAATCTGGATCAGTCTGGCTTCCTTTGTTCCTTCTCACAGCTAACAGAAAGTAGTGGCTTACCTGGAGACTACCATACTGCAACTTTCAAAGATCTACTCAGGGATGGTCAGCCAAGATCAGCAAAACCATCCTTTAGCCATCCCATGCCTGACCACAGCAACATGAACGACCCCTCTGAAGACCAGCCAAGTTCAGCAAAGGCTGTAAAAACTGCCCGGCCAGCATGCACACTCAGGAGTTACTAGTAAATCACTTGTAAATCCTATAGTATATAAACTTGGTGGAAGGTATTTATTACAAATGGCCAAACAGAAGTCAGGAAATGGGTTTTGAGTTTATACAAATTAACTTGTATTAAAGTATCCTTATTCTATAAAATAAGTACAATCCTCTGTACTATATATCTTACTGCATTGTCTTAAGACTTTTAAACAATAAGGCTTTGAACTCTATTAAATAGTGTAAAATAAATGGAGTATTCTACTCCCCTTAGTCTGGGTTTCTAAGAAAAAGCACATTCTATAACTTTAAAAAGGCCTCCTTGGGGCTGGGAAGGTAGCTCAGTGGTAGAGTGCTTGCCTTGCATGCATGAGGCCCTGGGTTTGATTCCTCAGCACCGCATAAGCAAAAAGAAAAAAGCCGGGAGTGGCTCTGTGGCTCAAGTGGTAGAGTGCTAGCCTTGAGCTGAAGAGCTGAGGGACAGCGCCCAGGCCCAGAGTTCAGGCACCACAACCGGGCTCAAAAAAATAAAAAAAAATAATATAAAAATAAAAAGGCCTCCTGTTCAGAATCCAAGGAAAAAGTGTGGAAAAGTACAGCAGTGGAACACACTGGACATTGATGTACTGATTACCTGCCGCATGTCAATGTAACCTCTGTATATCACTTCTATAGTAATAATAACAAAGTAAATTCTAAAACAAGCCTCCTATTCAACCTCAGACTGTGCCTTAACTATAGAATCATGGAAATTGTGATGCTCATTTGAAAATTTTCTATCAGTTGGAACCTCTAATATAAATGGAACATCTGACAAAGTTTCATGGTCTTTGTTAACAGTTGACCTGGTTAGTCTCTGTACATATGTCAAAGTAACTGTCTCAATCCTTGGAAAAGTACTGCAATGGAGTTTGAGTCTTATTTCATAACTGTATATCACCTTGTTAGTAACACGTAGTCAATCTATACTTTCAATCTACACTTCATGTATACTTAAAATGTAGGAAGAAACACTTTAAGTATATATGAATGAAAATGTAAGTTACTGCCCTCAAGCAATTTGATTATATTTTCAACATTATAATGTTGCAACAGCCCTTATGCTATGGGTGCTAACAGCACACCTTGCATTCTTTTCTAGGTTTATATTAAATAAGGTTAACATTTTTGTTCATATCTAGCTTACTTGAGCTATATATTTGGGCAGTTTTTGGTTCCTCTGATGTTTTCAGCCCTCAAGCCCCTCAAAGAACTGGGACCACCATGTCTGGCTCTCCTCCCTTCTTCATAATCCCCTATATTTAGCTTCTACTGATACCTGAATCTGAGAAGCATGTAGATCCATGGTGATGATGTGATCTGCACCAGCTACAGACAGCATATTTGCAACCAGCTTGGCTGAGATTGGAGCCCGGCTCTAAATGGAAAGAAAAAAATTGAGGAACACTTCATTTGCTTGAGAAATATTTATTAAGTACCTACTCTATTTAAGGAACTGTGCTACAAGGAAATTCATAGAAAGCAATGTGGCACTCTGAGTAAATCATAATCTAGAACAAATATTAAGTGTAACATCTTTACTCCAACTGGACCCATTGCAACAATGAGATGTACAAGTCGTATGTCGAAAACGAACTTTACAACTTTGGTGTGGTGGGGAGAAGGGTTGGATGGGGGGGGGGAAGATGGGATGGGAAGGGGAAACAAAGGAGAAGGCTACAATGCTTGATAAGAAATGTACTCATTATCTTGCCCATGTAATTGTAACCCCTCTGTACAGTATTTTCACAATAGAAAAAAATTCTTCCTAACTTCACATACCTAGTTTCAGCCGTTGGGACCTCCAGTATTCAATTATTCAAACTTATTGAGCAAGAGGGTGTTTAGGGGGCAGGGAAAGAGCAACATGCTTTCGGAGGTGGCTACTAGGTATGAGGGAGGTGGGATAACAAAGAGAATGAGGATTCATATCATCAAAGTAGATGTTTACAGTATGAAAATAGAACAATGAAGCCTGTTGAAATTATTCTAGGTAAGGGAGAAAGGAAAGTATGACATTGTGAGATTGAATGGAATACATTGTAAACACATGGAAACCAAACAATGAAATCCCCTCCTGTTAACTGATTTTTGCTAATGAAAAATTTTAATAAAACCTTTTAATGCACTCATACTTGTATAACAAACATCTCACCTGCCAAAGTTCAAAAATGGATCACATGGTACAAGCTGTTTACCTTGTATATTATACTACTGACTCATCTGGAGGTCAACTTTCCAATAACCTCAACTCCCTTCAATAAAGGTAGATTTAAGTACTGTACCCTGTACAACAGCAAAGTCCAGGGACTGGGAAGGTGGCTCAGTGGTAGAGCGCTTTCCTTGCATGCTCGAGGCCCTGGGTTCGATTCCTCAGCACCACAGAAGCAAAAAGAAAAAAGCCGGAAGTGGCACTGTGGCTCAAGTGGTAGAACATTAGCCTTGAGCTGAAGAGCTGAGGGACAGCTCCCAGGCCCAGAGTTCA